ACACCGAGTGTCAATATATAAAATATGTGTTAAATAATAAATAATACAAATTTAACAAATGGGATGGCTATTTCAAATATTAATTGTTTATCGCTTCAATACCGCCTAAATAATAAATAGCTAATGAAATTTATACCTTTAATGAAAATCAATATCACACAAACCCCTCACACCCCTCTGTTTCTTCTTTACAAACCCTCACTCCAACTCATGCTTCTTCTTCTTCTTCTTCTGCCCCCCCTCCTCCTACTCATTCTCCTCCTTTTCCTTCTCCTTCTACTCCCACTTTCTCTTTCTCCTTCTCATTCTTCTTCCACTTCTTCTTCTTCCTCTTCTCCCCTCCTCCTCCTCCTTTTGTTTATTCTTCTTCTTCTCCTCCTCCCTCTCATCCCTCTCATCCTCCTCCTCCTCCTCCTTTTTTTTCTTTTTTTCCTCCTCCCACTTTCTTCTCCTCCTCTTTCGTCTTCTTCTCCTTCTCACCCCTCTTTCTCTTCCCCACTCTTTATCCTCCTCGTATGTCATTTTTTAATGTTGGCATGTACTTTGCCGCCATGCCATAATTTATTCATCTTTGTTGTCTTAACGTGGAACAAACCACAACAACATTACTCGTAGAATAAATCTCCAAGCCATTGTAGTCGGACTGAGGTCAACAATATTCGTGATATTAGGAGCGACTATATATATCCTACAAAAGTTTCGAGATATTTGAAAAGTGAATGAAGGTTTGAGAATGAAATATATATACATATATATAGAAAAAAAACAGGTGTTTCAGTTGTGTTTTACACATGGTAATCACCTAAGTAATGGGGAAGTGGATAGGAAATTGATCCTCTAAAAAACAACTTAGTAAATAACCCTCCTGCGAATAAAAAAATTAATTAAAACCGAACTTGTAGTGGGGTAGTGGGTCTGTGTACTGGATCTAGTTGTGGGAGAGGTTACATGTTATGGGTGGTTATGTTACGTGTTATGGGTGGTTATAATAGAATTGAGCCTAATGGTAAATATCCGGATTTCTTAGGATCAAATTGTAATTTATAAAATTCTTTAATTTATATACGACTGTTGAAACTTTGATCCCACTAACTTATTAACAACTATAATTTATAAAGGTCTTTAATCTGATTTCTCGAAGTTCGTAGAAACTTTGATTTCTTAGAAATTAAATTTATTCATCTGTTGAATGCTGAATCAGGCCTCTAACGATAACTCATACAAATTTTATTTATAAAATTCTTACTGATTATGAAAGATGAATTTGCGGTGTTAATATATTATATAAATCAGATTATATTATATTACGTGAAATCTGAGTTTATTTGGAAACCGGACGGATTGGATTGGAAATGGACGTTTCGGAAAATTTCAGATTTTTTTCGGAACTCAAATCTCATTTCCAGATTCCGATTCCGACAATTTCGGAATCAAAAACTGAGTTCCGATTCCGATATATTCGGAAATATCGGAGTTTTGGATTATTTCGGAATTTCAAAATTTTCTTAAAAGAAAGGGAATAATGAGAAAAACAATCGAAAACACCAAAACCGAGCAACAATCAACAATAAACCTCTCCACACAATGCAAAACATTCAAGAATTTGTATTCCATTCATATCAATGACATATTCCACCAAAATAATTCCTAAAATAACAGAATATTTGAGGTTTCAAAAATAGAAAAGGTTATTATTTGCAGATCGATGATCTCGACAAGTAGCTTACTGGCCAGCACCCCTTTGCCTTTTGGGTGCTCGAAGAAACGAGCGTCGCCATTTGCAATGGAGCTGAATATTGGAGAAGATTAAAACAAGAATGTCATCGAAAACCACAGACTTTAAAACATGCGACGAAACGTGCGAGTTAAATCAAGAATCTTACACGAGTTAATATCCTTCCAACGGGGTGGAATTGAAGAAGAGCATCGGAGCACTAAACACCGAGTTAATAAAACTCGAGAAGAAGGCTTTCGAAGCTCTCAGCCCTAAAAGAATCGCGAAAAACGCTCTGAAATATACGAACACAGCACTAGGTGACGAAATTAGAGTGTAGATCCTGACGACGAAAACACTGCTTCGTTCGAGATTTTGAACCGAAAAAGCTAGCCAGAAACTCGCGGCAGTTTGAAATTACAGTAGGCCCCAAAAAATATTTAGATTTTAAGCAAAATCCAAAATGTATTTAATTAATAATTTTTTTTAGGTTTTACTATTATACCCTTAATTTATAATTAGACGTGTAATTAAGAATTAAATACTATGTATCTTCTTCTTAATTATCTCACGTTTCACATAACATTAATATTCCACAAATCTCATTTTAATTTCTCAATTATGATTTTCATCTTCATCTCTAGTATTTCTCTCTCTCTCTCGTCACAACACCCGAGCAATCCTCTCGTCGCCGAGTGGGAGATTGTTAGAGTAGGTGATCAATAAGTCTTGTGACTGTGGTCTTTACATATTTCATCTAATAATAATACTTTTGGCATTCTATATATGTGTCCCTTGCTTGCGTATGGATATAGGTCTTTCAGTTATTCTATTACTACTAAATTATCTAATTTCCTTTTTTGGTAAATGAAGGAACCCACAACCAACCATATAGGTGCACTGGGCAAACCATACGAGAGATGTAAATCACACTAGGCTAACCATGTGTGACAAGCTCTACCTAGCGACCGTTGACAAGGCAATTCGAACCTTTGCCGACTCTTACATTTGAGAAATTAGTACAAGACATTGGTATGAGAAGAGCCAGTATGAAGCAAGATTGATAATCCAACTTTGAAGTTTATATTGCTCGTTTCAGAGGGAGCAATAGTGCATTTCACTCTTTTTCCCTTATAGTTGGTTTTGTTCCATCGGGTTTTCTAGCAAAGGTTTTTAACGAGGTAGCTTATGCGCACGACTTGGATTCGAGTTATACACTATTTTCCCCTTCGAACCAGTTCTGTCCCACTGAATTTTTCGACTTGAAGTTTCTAACGACGCATACATACATTTCACTCATCCAACTTACAATCGACACAGTGATGCTACGTCTAAAGGGGTGGTGGTAATATATCCTTATAGACTTGAGCATTAAGTTATTTTCCACCTGGTCAATACAATACGTTGACCAAGACAAAAGAGAAGAATATCCAATATGTGGCTTGTACGTGTTGCTTTGTAAATCATGGTCAGTCAATGTACACAGGTGGCTCTATACACGTGTATATGAATTCTCTATATATATATATGTAGTCTTCTCATATGAAATAATAACTTAAAGAGTTTAGGCAATGTTTGGAACCGTTTTTATTTTGTTCTCACTGTTTCCCCAAAACAAAATGGGATTTATTACACTTTTCAAATCATTTTCTCAAAACAATTTCAAAAGTTTCTCTCTCCTCCAGACATGATGTGACTGCTACAGTAAAAAATGTCTTCACTAAAAAACAAATAAACATCACTTCACCTTTCAATTTTCTTCTTCAAAAATATCTTTTTCTAACACCTTTAAACATGATTTGACTTCTACAGTGTATTTTGTCTCCTTCCAAAATACAAACAAACATTACTTTCATTCTCAAATTATTCCCCCAAAACATATTTCCTCAAAATGAAATCAAAATAAGATCCAAAACGGTTCCAAACATTGCCTAAGTTTTTGCAAAAGCTTTATTTGCGTCTGTCCATCTCAATTCATTTCAGCTCCTAGAATTTAGTTATAAATTGCTTTTCATACGCTACAAATCTTCGTATAATCGAGTATCAATTTCCTACAAATATATATGTGAGGTTTATCCTCTAACAGAAATAACTAATTTATACACAATCGAATTTGATACATTTCAAGATTTCCAGTTTTCAATTGTCAAAAGACAAGGCAATAATTGCCTTGCTGCTCATGCTCCCTATTTGTGCCTACAAGAAAAAAAAAATGGGCATTTGAGAGCTTATAAGTTGTTTCTAGGAAAAGTTGCTCCAAATTATTTTCAAAACAACACCAATCCTAACAAAATCATTTAACTCTTAACAATGCTAAAGACAAAATTGTTAGCAACTCTTTAAACATCAATGACAATTTTCTACCCAAAAATTTGAACAACTAACTTTCAAAACAAAATTTAAAATCTTACAAGCTCCAAAAACATCTTGTTAAGAAGTATGAGCTTATAAGATCTTTTAAATAACCACAAACCAAACTCCGTCAAATATGTATCTTCGTGGATTATGAGACCTCAAAAAAAAACATTTCTAATTTGACTTATTTCTACTGGGCAAGAAATGTGATTACTTATCGACAAATGATGACTCAGCAAGATCAATGGCACGAGCAAGACCAGCGGCCTTGTTTTCGCACTCTCTCTGTTCATCGGCAGGAACACTGTCTGCAACAATACCAGCACCAGCTTGGAGATGTGCTATCCAATCTCTCCTCTTCTCACCGCCTTTGTAAGAATACATTGTGTCGTAACGCATGTTTGTTGGGAATACAATTGTTCTCAAAGACAAGGCTATGTCCATATCTCCTGTGTACGATATTCCACCAAATCCACCACTGTATGGCCCACGTCTCGTCACTTCTAGTTGATCTATCAGTTCCATCGCTTTCACCTGTGGATCATAAATATTACATATTAAGCACTCTTATGTAAAAGAATTAAAAAAGGAAAAAGAAACATGCGAAACAGTTGAGCTAGAAGAAAGTTGATTGAATCTCTCACCTTTGGGGCTCCACTAACTGTTCCAACAGGTAATGCTGCACGCAGAGCATCCCAGCTCGTCAAATTAGATGACAACTCACCCGTAACCTTCATAACCAATATAAACCAACACAAACACGGAGATTTTTAGTAATTAGTGACATTACAGATATTGGTCAAGATTTAAAGAAAAAAAAAAAGAAAAAATAAATAAGAGATGTTGCGCTCAGAAAATTTCAATAATTTTCTATGTTGAAGTCATTCTATTTCTTGTTCACTCGGTTAAAGAACCCCCAAGGCACCTTTTTTTTTTTGTAAGTATTAAATATGTTTACATACGTAAAAAGGCTATAAGAATAATCTGCAGAAAAAGAGTACATACAGTGGAACTGATGTGCATGACATGCGAATAACGTTCGATATTCATGAGTTTCTCAACCTTGACAGAGCCAGGCTTCGACACCTGCATCCATAAAACTGGTCTTCATTAGTCGTCACAACCCAACAATACACACTCTAATTTGTGTTAAGACCTATAGTGCAGCAGAAGTATGAGAAGGTGCTACGACAGTCGTAGACACAGCATATAAGACATCAGGCAATCATTAACTGGTACTGTCAACAGTAGAGATCAAAAACGTTTTAATCTAGGCTTATTTAACCTTTCTTATCTATACATCTTATAAGCATTAGAATTCCGACATCCACATAGAAGTCATAAAATAACAGAATTACAGCACATTTAATATGATAGAAACAGAGGAAGGCAACCTTTCCAACATCGTTTCTCCCCAAGTCAACAAGCATAATGTGTTCTGCACACTGTTTTTCATCATGCAAAAGCTGGTTTTCCAACATATAATCTTCTTTGGGCGTCTTGCCTCTTCTGACAGTTCCAGCCAGAGGTCGATTAGTGATCTTACCCTGTTTTCAAGAAACAAAATAGAAATGAACAGAATATTGTCAAAGCTTGAAAAGCTAAAAGGAAAATGAATACTAAGAGTCATCAAAAGATAACAAATTACTAAACTGGAAAAGCAAAAGAAGTCTCCCATTGTCCATTAAACAAAAACCGTATTAAGCAAAATGATATTTTACAATTTTTTTCATCTATGCTTCACATAAAATAAATAAAAGAAAATTTCTAACCAATATTCATAAATGCAGGGAAACTAATTTAGTGCCAGGGTTCTGGTCACTGCCTAATGAAGCAAAAAGGATGTCATCCAGAAAAGGACCGACAGAACAGCCCAAAATTAACAGAATAAGACAAATCCAGTCTTTATTTCCGAGAAAAGTGAAAAAAATCTTGGTCGAGTAGTCAATTGCATTTTAAAAATTAATAGATAAAAGAGAGAACAAATGCTATGGTGGGTGTTTTCCAAATTAAAGTTGGAACATTTGATAATGGAATACATACTTAAGTACTTCGCAACTATAAGAAGAATATTTTTCTTCAAGTTTAACAAATTATAAACATAATAAGATACATAAACATACTTATATACATATCTACATGCATACATATATATGATACGCTTTCTGTATTAGATCAGAGTGGAAAAGACATGAAGAACGAAATCTAACACAACATTCATGAAAGTTCTGCTACTTTTGGAGTGCAGAAAATATTACCTTCTTAACTCGAGTAAGAATTTCAGGACTTGAACCAACCAGGATACAGCCTCTTGCCTAATCAACAATAATATATTTTAATAGATTGTAATAAAGAAATCCAAGAATGAAAGTTTAGAGAAAGAGAAAACAAACTTGTAAATAAGTCATATATGGACTTGGATTGACAATCCTCAACGCTCTGTACACTTCAAATGGATCCGCAAATGTTCGACGCTCAAAACGCTGACTCAGCACAATCTGGAAGATATCTCCAGCTAAGATATGCTCCTTAGCTTGTGTTACTGCCTTCTGGTATTCTTCACTTGTCATGGAGGAATTGCTCAATGATGGACCGAAAAGGCTGGTGTATAAGTTTATAGAACCCGCAGCAAGTTTCGGACTGCAATTATCAATAAAGTAAGGGACCTCATAGCAATAATAAGTGAACCCAGAAAAGGAGATACTGAAAAACGAAGTGAATCACTTACGGCACTATATCATGCACTCTTGAGACTAGAGCTTCTAATCTGTTCATCCCGTCATCATAGGCCTCTTCAACAGAAGAGAACTGATCCAACCTGACCCAGTGTATCACATACGCTTTCTGAGACAAAAGTACATAACGACTAAACACTTAATAATCTCAACAATTGAACTTCAAGTAGCAAGAATAACTGGACATAGAAATAAGCTTCTTTAACTCGAATACACGATCATGAAGATAAAATCGATTATAAAAATCCAAATATGGTTCTCGTAAAATTTCTCGGAAAAAGGACTTGAATATTGGAAATATGATCCTAGCATAAAATCCGAAGTGCTCTTTGATCATGTAGAAACCAAAATACTTAAAAAAGAAACCCAAGGGAGCATGAGTGAACCTTTTCCACATGATCAAACACAATGACATCATCATAGAGGCCAAGATGAATGTCGGGAAGGTTTCTGTCATCGTGAGGAGCTTTCGAGAATGGAAGTTTCCTCTTTTCTACATAACGCACTGTATCATATGAAAAGTAACCAACCCAACCACCTGTTATGCGAGAAACAATACTGTTAATAAATTCCGTGTTTTTTAGAGATACGGAAAATAGGACAGAACAAAAAGGAAATCATCACCTTAATCAGGTAAAAGCAAAAAGTTACAAAATCAAACATTAGATAAAATAGCTTAAATTCTAGTAAGATACAATATAGGAAGTCCATTACAATCTGTTTTCCCCGGTCTGGAGCGAAGTGTTACCGCATTATAGCTAGTTTGTGCAAAATGAATTTTGCTAAATAGGGGTTTGTATCTATTTTTATATAATTAAACAATTAGTGCTTAACTTTTTCTAGGTATTACCGCAAAATGCATCGGGGAGTTCATCAATGCGCTGGGGTTTCCATTTCTCCATAATCCTGCGAGGAACAACCATAGGATCTTCCACAAACTCCTCTGTTCTTCGTCCCTCATGGTGATCGACTATAGTCACCATGTTCTCCTTTGCAACAATCTCCATTGTTGGCTGAGCTCCAATAACACTATACCGGCCCTAGCAAAATTTGATCAAACATTAACAGAAGCAACATGAAAGGCAAACGAGGAATAAATTAAAAATATTCAAGTATGGAGTTCAGTGAGTGAAGATAAGAAAGGAACAGTTGAGAAATTACTAGACAACCTTAACAGTTGACTTGAATATATTATATGGTGTAGACTACCGGCAAATTGTAGGATCAACCTTACGCTGAAGAATTTTAATAGGAAGATTATTCTTATTTTTAAGGCCTAGTATTAAATACTAGTCATTGCGCTATTATTTTTGGCTCGGGTTAGGTAATGGGGTTATATTTTAAACAACGCCTTGATTCAAGAAATGAGAAAATAAGTATTTCAATTTTAAAACAGCTAAAAAACCTACACTCCATGCAAGAAAAAAAAAACAATAACATCCAACGCATTCTTGAAACTTTGAACCAGAGAATCATGTCCACTTTCAGATTCTTGGACTTAATATATTACAAGTATTTCAACTCTGAATATGTCATTAAGTTTGTATTCTTTGGTAAGACGTGCATCAAATAGACCAATTATTTCATGGGTAACCAAACATGTACCTGATTTCAATTCTCCTGGCAAATTTTATATTACATCAATCAAGCCCTAACAACCGTGACTTTGGTCTAGCAACCAAGATTGATAAACTCAAATAACACACGTTAAAAATTACAATTAACAACATCACTATTAGCTATAACTTGGCATTCCCAAAATAATGCAACACGGCGTAGATTTTCTTATTAAGAAAAAAGATCAAATGGGATAAAAGAAATCTTACAACACTTGAGGCTTTCAGACCGGGATCAACAGACTCAAAAAGAAAACTCGGGGCATCTCTCTCATCTTCCTTCACCAAGCACCTATATGCAAGCACCGGAGTCAAGTGATCAGAAAATATCGGCCTGTACAGCGGGATCAAATTCCCATCCTTTGCAGCCTCCTTGAACTTCACAGAGTGGTCCACTGCACCCATTATTATCGACAACGTCAAACAAAGCAAAAAAAAAAATATCAATTGATACTCTGTTCAAATTTCCCATTCATTCACTACAGTAGAACCTCGATAAATTAATAACCTCGATTAAATAATAGTTTCTCTCGGTCCCGACTCGGTGAAAACGTGTTAAATTATTAACTCGATAATTTAATAATTCGCTAAATTAATAACTCGACTGTATTAATTTATAGAGGTTTAACTGTATATTCAAATAGCAAGAAAGAGGTATTTTTTTTCTTTTTTTGGTATTAACATTGATGGAACACTCTATTCCGTATCTAAGGGTACATTATAATTGAAATAATTAGCATATATGCAAACACAATCGATGTTCCTAAATTTCATCCAATACGTAAACCTCTGGAAAAGCATAATATACATCCTCCAAAAACAGATAAAAAAATTGATTGAATTATTAATAGGAAATAGGATTTGAATCAAACAATCAAAATCAATGTGAGAAAAACGGCAGTAATTGAATTGATGAGTATAGAAGAATTAAGACTAACCCAGGGATGGCGGCGAGATTGAACATTTGACGGTGCGAAGAGGCTTGAAGGTGGCGGAGGAGCGCGGCGAGAAGAGGGGATGATAAGAAGACAAAGCTAGGGTTTCCATAATCGAAGAAATCTGGGTGGTGGAATCGGCGAAGAGTGGAAGGAGGATGTAGTTTTGAAACAACCTAAGGTTTTTCTTTCAGTATTGGAGATGAAATAGCATCAGTCTGCGCAACTGTTTCGTCTATTCTCTAGTGGGGTTCAAAAGTGGATACCAAACAGTACCAATTTTAGTTTATATACAATTGGAATATATTTATTATCATTAAAAACAATTCCTTTTTTTTTTTTTTCTTTTTTTTCTTTCTTTTTATTAAAAACAATTCCAAAAGACAAATTCTCTCGGCTCAGGGCCCCATCCCCATCTCTTGGTCCAACAAATATTTGATGGAGGAATGTAAATCGTGTTGCGGCCGTCATGATTCGATATTAAAATTTTATACCAATTTACCATACCGAATCAGTTGAGCTATACTCACGCGGACATTTTTTAAAAGACCAATTCTTGTGCCAAAAGGCGAATTCCCTCGCCCTCATGGCCCTATCCCTTGGCCCGACAAGTCGGCTGCAGGATTCGATCTTAGAACCTTATTCCAATTTACCATCCCGGAACTAGTTGAGTTATATTCATGCGGATATTTTTTAAAAGAACAATTATTGTACCAAAAGGCAAAACATCTCGCCCTCAGGGCCCCATTCCTTGGCCCGACAAATATTTGATGGAGAAATGTAAATTATAGTAACTTAACAGCCCGTTAGGGTAGCGGACCCGAACTTGGCGCCCACAAAAAATCAACTCTCATTGGAGTTGAAATTCTCATATTGCGGCTGTCAGGATTCGATCATAGGACCTTGTAACAATTTACCACCCTGAAAACCAGTTGAGTTACACTCATGCGGGTTTAAAAGAACAATTCTTGGTTGAATGGGAATGGACTAAGAATTATTTACCAATTTTAGATTTCATTCAATAATTTTTTTTTTAATAAAAACTAGTATTTCACCGTGCTTTAAAAAATATAAATACATTAACTAAAATAATCAACTACAAATAATTAACTAATACACATAAACAATTAAGTGTCAACTAAGCGATTTGATAAAATGACTTAAGCAATTTGACAAATGTCATTCATTGAAGCTATAGATCATATTCTTATATTATATATAAATTTAAGAAACGTTCAATAACTGTATTAGAGGAAATATAGGTAGAATAAGGTATAAATCAAAATTAAATTAAATCAGAAAAACTAATTGAAAATTGTGGGGTGAAAATAAGAGGTACAATACACTACTTGATTGTTTATTTTGACTTTATATATTGTATATATATATAAACTAGTTCAAATAAAAAGATGTGAATATATACAAAATAAAAATTGCAATTTCGATAGAACACAAAGATCAAAAGATGAAAATTGACAATATAAATCGAAAAATAGAAACAAATAAATGAAAAACAAAAAAAAAATGAAAAATGAATAACAACTACAAACATTGAAAGAAAAACACAAAATAAAATGCAAAAAATAGAACAAAGATCAAAATATTCAACGAAATGACAAATTAACACGAAAAAAAAACGATGGAAAAAAAACTCACGAACAATAGTATTGATGAGACCAAAATGGCCTATATAGAAGAAGAATAAAGTAGATGAAAAGAAGTTCAAAGTCAGCCCCTGCCCAAGTGACCTACAAAAAAGGAGTGCCGGGTGGTTTCGGACTCGAGTGCACGAGCAATGGACCCTCGATGGTTCAAGTGTAAGCTAGTCGTGGATTCATAATTTTTTGTGGTTTAAACTCGTCCCTAAAGTTATAATTAAAATGAAGCTCGTTTTAATTTAATCATCCAACGAATCAAGATTGGTGTCTACCAACTACGCATCATGATTGCCTAGATACAAATGAAGTGCCTGCAAGAACCATGTGATATAGTTAACGTACAGTACGATCCCTTCGTATGTCCCGATTGAACTAGAGGCATTGGTTCATCGAGACCTCCTTTGTAGTTCAATAACTGCGCGATCGTTCTAAGTGTTGCAATCGATACGTGCATGACTTAGAGAATCGAATTCCCTAATCATCACTTAGTCAGCTCTGGCCAGAGACTTAAAGATTACAAACTATGAGAACACACAGGACATCCAAGATTATTCTAACGATCGAATCCCCGACTACAATGCACATACATCCCACTAGATTTCGGACTGCACGACACTGGCCCTTGGGGCGGTCCTCGGTGGACCTCAGGCACAAGTCACAATACAGCTGGTCCTCTAGTGAATTCACGGTGATGTCTAGGTCTTAAGCACTAATGGTGTACAACTATATCATCCAGATCTCTACTCGATTATCGAGAACTGCTTAGAGATTTTTAGGATGAGGGAGTTCAGTGGACTCGTCAACTTACGAGCACCCACTTATGTATGCCGATATCACAATACAGTTTATTGATGAGACGCAGTACACATACACTAAGTGTTAGTCTATTAATGGGAAAGACCGATATCATCATTGGTGGCGAAACCCTTAGACTAGGAACACGATCTAACAGTTATAATACTTAAGTAAATATTTCACGATCCTAATAAATCAATTATAAGTAATTGTAATAACTAAAAGGACTATATCTATGTTTGTATACAAGGGGCAAAGATATAGAATGCCAAGGTGTTTTATTATTAATACGAAAAAATATTATTTATTACAAAAATAAATCTTGCAGCCACAAGTTGGCTTGTTGGTCATGTACTCTAACAAATTAACGCTTTTTACAAACCTGGACAAGAAAACAACATATATTGCAACCGATTCTTAATTTGAGAAAACACTAATCTCGTTGATGGATACTACCCACTAGTGAAAATGTTTAAAATCATGCAATCTGAGAACATGCATTATTTGTTCTCCCCCTTCTTTCCCCACACTATTATTCTTCTTCGACATTGGGTCGCTTTTTTTTTTTTTTTTTAATTTGTTTCTTCTTCGGCGCCTTTATGTATTCTTTCTCTTTGTTATTTTTTTTGATTCGTTGTCCATATTGATTCAGACAAAAAGAAACTAAAAGATAGTTAGCAAGAAACTGCTTTGAAAATGAAAGAAACTTGTTCTAAAATGAATCGTAACGTGTAGTTGAAAAGGCGTGGAGCGTGTCTCCCAAACGGTGCGTAAAACAAGTATGGAAAGGGGTGTCAGACAACCCATGTAATTTAAAAATAAAGTGAAGGGTGTTTCCAACTTTGCATAAAGAGCTAAGGAGCTAGCTGCATGTTTATGTTTGTTTTAGAGACTGACTAGTGTGTGAAACGTGGACGGGGACTGATCCGCATTTTATGTTTGTGTTTGGGTATTTATCTGTACAAACCCCATAAGAAAAAGAAAAAAAAAAACACGTTTATTTTTATATTTTTTTCATTCGTGGTCAAATTCTCAAAATTCTAAGAGCATCTCCAATGCTAAACTCAATCTCTAATACTTAGAGTGCTATATAAGATATTTTGAGATATTTGTTTAAATATCATTTCCAATGCAAATCTTAAGAACAGTCTCCAAATGATGTGGCAATGAGGTGGCACTTGTGATTTACTTACGATGACACTCTGAAATTAAAGTGTCATCTTGAGGATCTCTAAAGTGTCAACTCATCTTTTATTAATTTTTCTTTTACTTCCTATGACTTTGAGTTTTGAGTGTTGTATTGGAGAAGACTTTACAGTAGAAAATCTCAGTCTTGGCAAATAGGAAGGAGAAATTTTAAAATTCATATTTGGTACTTAACACCTAGGATTTTAAGAGGATTTTAAGAGTTTTTTTTTTTTTTTTTTGGTTTAGCATTGAAGATGCTTTAATTTTAATTAATTCTTAATTTCATACAAGATTTCAAGAAATTCTAAAATTTCCAAAACTATACATATTTATTTTAAAAGCTATAAAAATAGAATCTGAATTTTATTTCATTAGATTGTTTTTAATTATTAAAAGGGTAATTGATAGAAATGTAAAGTAAGAAAATAATACAAAATAATTTAGAATAATTTATTTATTTTAAATAGATAACTTTTTGAATTATCTTTTAAAATTAAAAGGATAAAATGAATTATATGCTTTACATAAATTTTCAATTTCAACTCAATAAACCATCTGATGCGGCCAACAATAAGTTAACTCGAATCACCTCAAATTAAACCTGCAACGAATACTTGGGAATCGATACGGCTTAACGATGATCTTCTTCGATTTGATGGATTAGGTGTTTCCTGCGTAAGAAAAATATACGTTAGGGTGCCGGAGCTTGGTTCCGGCGAAAACCCTCCGATGCTTAAGTTAGTCCAGATTCCAAGAGAAGAATATCAGAGAAAATACGAGAAGAAAATATTCTAATGTCTTTCGAATAATAAAAAATTCCCTTTTCCCAATAAACGTAAAGCATTTATATACAGAATCTTACTATGGGCCTGGAATGTAACCTCGGGCTTTTAATTGATAATTGGGCCCAAATATTATAGTTATAATTTTTGGGCCTCATCATATTTTTGGCCCATGTACATCACCATCAAAATATAGTTATTAGTTATTCTTTTGTATTTGTGTATCTAGCTAACAAACGAAATAACAATTTAAAAGTGCAAACAAAAAAGAAATAAAAAAAAGTACATTAAAGAATGAAAAATCACTTCAAAAGTTAAAATATCATTAAAATTAGCTGTAGGATGCAAATTGTCATGATATATTTAATTTGAGGGAGGACTTTGCTAATTATAACATTTCAGGGTGCAAATTGCCAATCCCACATATTTGGGGTGCAAAATGCAATTCTCCCGAATTTTAAAAAATTGAAATAGTCAAACTCAAATAATATGAACCCATATAGCAACGGCGTTTATTTTGCAAACCCTAATCATTGTTTATTTAATTTGTTTCAATCTACATGACTGGTTCATCGGCACAAAATCTGCAGTTTTATTCAAGGTTAAGAAAAAAAAAAAAAAAAATCAAACATTTGAATAGGGTTTATTAATTAATTATTTCAGGTCCACCATGGACAGGATATCCGAGTTGCCGAAAGACATCTTACATCGAATACTGTATTTCCTCTCCCCAAAGCAGGTTGTTCGAACATCTGTACTGTCAAAATCATGGCGTTACGATTGGTGTACTCGCCCCAATCTTGATTTTTCAGACATGGACTTCATAGTTAAAATGCAAGAATCTGTATCCACTGTGAACAATATTTTACAACGATACTATGATCAAAGGTTGTGCATACAGAAGTTGCACCGCAGTTTATTACTAGACAATAATTTGGACCGATGGGTTTCGCTTCTCAAAACATGGACCCCACTACTCACACTTACGGGTCTCAAGAAATTTCGTCTTGTTTACTTTGGTGGAATGCCGGCTGAAGTCTTTGGAGCCGAATCGCTCGAAGATTTGCATTTGGAAGGATTCACGTTCGACGAAAAGGGTATCGAAAGGATGGTGGTCTTCAAGCGTCTACGGTCACTTTGTCTCCGACATGTCAAATTCGAGGACGATGTTTTGCAGAAGATAATCGCAAGCTGTCCTTTGATCGAAACCCTAAACGTCGAAGGATATTGTGATTGGGAATGGACAAGCACAATTAAATTAAATGATCTACGCAATCTCAAGAACTTAAAATCCAATATCTTTACCTTTGAAATCCATCCCCCGTCTCTTGAAACCATTGATATTAGATGCGGCGATATTCGGTTACACAGAGGAGCCGTTTTCTATAACCTCAGAGATTTATATCTGGCACGTGTCGGTTCGTCACTGGACCACTTGTCGTCGTGTAAATTCCCGAGGCTCGAGTGCTTGGACTTATACGATTGTGGTCGGCCGGAAGAAATCCAGCTATTTATTGATGCCCCAAACATAGTTTGTTTTAAATGCAACGAAAGTCGTGTCCCGTCCATTTCTTTTGCAACAACTTCTAGAGAGTGGAAGTCGGATATATCTCTGACACCGGACGAGTTCTCTTCTTCGTGGTTCCTCAAGATAAAAGAACTGCTCAAGTCGTTAAGCCGGTCTAAAATTTCTCTCACGATTGGTGGATTTGATTACATAGTACAAGAAAACATTAATACGGTACAAGACAATGATTGTGATAATCCTGTTGTGGTGGAATGCTTAAGATTGGATTGCCCTTATCCTCTATCTTCGTTTTCGTATCTTTTGAATGTTACGTTTGGTATTTGTCGTCCAAGAAACATCGGTAACTTCCACGAGCAAGCGGACGCAGAATTCGTCGCGTTTCAGTGGAAGATTCTAATGCAGAGAGAGAGTGAAAACCAAGATGAGTTCGCACATTTGTTGTTTCGAGATTTGGAGGACGTGAGCTTCGAGATGAAGGAGAGGAATCGAGAAGATCAATGGCGTCCTGCAAGTTTGTCGGAATTCATTCTAAACTGTCGACAAAGTGAAAGTCGTTTCGCATTGAAATGGAGAGAAACTTTGTGAGTCCTTTTGAGTCCCTAAAAGCTTCATAATTAATAAGTATTAGGAAATGATTTATTAGTGTGATATTTCTTGCATCTTCTAATTTATACATATACTTGTGTCTGCTTGTTATTTAATTACTTGGTTCTTGAGTTCTGCTTTTTCTATTTGTTTGTTTTTTTCAGTTTTGGATTTCATGAGGCTTATTTTCTTTATTTTGAGTGCTTGTTAATTTTACCATTTTAATTAAGGGTAAATTACGAGGATCCATTGAGGAAAAGCCTAATTCCAAAAACGTTCTCATTGTTTACGTAATTACGACCACCTCTGAGGTATTCGCCCTCTAACAATTTTTTTCTCTACGAAGTTTGCATTTACCAAATCATTAAGATTCCATGGAATATCCGTTTGAAATTTCTACCTTGTGCACATGTCCTAATAATATCCTTAGGGGTTCTTAGTGTAAGATTTTGTAAGAAGAATATATATTTTATTTAATTGGTTTTCATTTGACCATTATTTTGCGTAGCCGTTTTTATTGTTCTTTAAGGGTATTAAGTAAGTTTTGGGATTATTTGACAAAACCTTCTTATATGCATTTTACAATTTACCAAGAGTTCAATTTTCTTTTTTCCCTTTTTTATAATAAATCCAAAACATTTTAAATCCACCATTAATAATTTAATTTGACTATAATACCTTTAACCTATACTATTATGTATTTATTTTTTAGGGGCTTAAGATATAGGTCTCTGGTGACAAAAATTATTAGAACTAAATGACAAGTCTAACTATGCTTCACATCCTTAATAAATTTCATTCCAAAAATGCCCCCACATACAAAAAATGAAATCTGCAACAAGTAATATTTAAATTATATTTACCATTTTTTCATTCCGTAATATTTAAACAAGTAATATTTTCGCATCCAGCATTTTATTATTATTTGTTTTCGTAGAACAATTTCTTTTTTTTTTTGCATTTTCAATTTTTTTTCTTTTTTTTTTCTATATAATATTGAAAAATTATGATTTTTTATTTTTTTGCGGCCGTAGTCTTCTATAGAAACTCATAGGAAACCGTAGTAGTTCGTAGTTATGTATAGACACTCTCGTAGGAAACTATAGTAATCCGTAGTCACATATTCTTAAAACCCTAATTCCTCTTTTGTAGCACCAGACATCATAGACACCTATAAACAATCATAGACATCTATAGACATGAAATCGAAAAATCTTAATCCGCCCCACCAAATCGTAGATCTCCTCCATCAAACCTAGATTTGCGACGCCAACATCACCACGCCGCTAAAGATACCACAAACCCCACCCACGCTGTCATTGCCCCCCATCCCACCCCCAACGTCGAGCGCCACCGACACCATCCCCCAACCCCGAGCGCCGCCGCCCAACGACCCCATCCTCATGACCAACACCGGGTCACCACGAGCGCCTCCCCTAGAGCAGCCGCCGCCATCGCCATCCCTCACTACAAAAAAAGTGCTTTTAAGTAACGAAACAATTGTAACAACTAAAAACTTTGTCACAAGAAGTAATCTATTGTAACGAATTACAAATTTTGTCTCAAGTAAGTCCATTTTTTGTGACACTGCAAAATATTCGTTACAAAAAGGACAATTTCGTTACCAAAAACCTCTTTTTACGACAACAGAAAACGTTGGTTACAAAACAACTAGCGTTGTTACAAAAACTTTATTGTCTAGTGACAAAATAATCTATGCGTTACAAATAGTATAAGGTTGTCACCAAAAATTGCAATTCTTTGGCGACATATGTGTATGTTGTTACAATAAGTTAATGGAATTGCATTCCATATTCGCTAATTATTCAAATATACAAAGATATAAAAATACATGTTGGAATTGCGCTCACTATTGACTCGTTTATTTCTTTTCATGTTGGATTTGTTTTTATTTTAGTGATATTCTTTTTTACTTTTATGTATTTTATATATTTCTCAAAATTTTAGTGCTACTCGATCGAAATTAACATTTCTTAAACTTTCAACGTCATTAATGAAATAATTTTATAAATAATAATACTAATAGTCATAATATTTCTACTAATAAAGTAGACGTACTAACAAAAATAAGTTTAATCTTAGACTATAGAATTGTGATAAAAAATTAAGACTATTAAATTTGAAACCATTATGCATTGGTGAAAAACAGAGGCGGAAATAGAACGATTTTTTTGTCTATCGCCGATTTCGATCTGAAGTTTTCCGATTTTGAAATACTATTTTTTGTTCCCATTCCGAAAATTCCAATTTATGTTTTCCATTTTTTGTGATTTTTTTGGATTATAATTGGAATACAAATGATATTTCTAGTTAGGTCCCCTATTTCAATTTCCAAAAATAATTCAAACAATTCAATTTTTGGAAAAAAAAAAATCATTTCGATTTTTCTAACATATTTTAGAACGAATTATAATTAGTTTTTCGGATAGCGCTAACGCCGATGATCCGTCTGATTTTCACTCCTAATGATAAATATTAATCAAAATAAAAACATGTTTTTGGAATTTTTAAGTAGGTGATTATTTTACCCAAACTCTTAATTTCAGAAATTAACAAATCAATTGACGTAATTTTGTATAGAATTTTTCTCTAAAATTTTCTTAAAATTTTTGCTCATCAATTAATTGTTAATAAAACATAATTGCACCAGAAATATTTTCTATATATAAAATAAATATTACTATACTTATTTTTTAGATTAAATATTAATTAGAGGAAAATAGTCTAAGAATATGAAAAATAATCTTCCACTAGGCGGTAAATAGCAGCGCCCTTTTTTTTTCATTTCCCTCCCCAAAATTTCGATTAATCTTCTCTTCCTCACATTCAGATGGGTTTTCTAGAATATGTAGAACTCCTTTCCAGAGCCAAAATTTCTCCTTCCAATAGACAATATATCCTGTAACATTGAGCTTTTCATCTTCATATATGTTTTCTATTATTTAGCTTATGATTTACAACTAAAAGGGGTTTCTCTTCCTCATCGGCAGATAGGTTCTGGAAATTATAGAACCCTTTTATCCTTCATACGATTTTAGGTAAAAATCGAGTTCCTTCTTCTTCAACTATGTGTCTTTTTTTTTTTGTTCCATCTCATGTTTCCCTCGTTTTGTAATTTTAGGTGGGTTGTCTTAAGGGGTTTCTTACTTCGACTCACTCTCCAGGTAATACTCTGTATTTTAAGTACAATTGATTTTTGTGTAAAAAGTGCTTATATTCGTCTTGTTGATAAGGATGTTTTTTTACTTCAGTTTTATAGAAGAAAGAAATAATAGATTTACAAATACTAATTGAACAACATAATTTAAGCTAAAATAGTGTATAAAACTGATTTGGAGAGGAATATTTATTCATTTATTTGATATGGAGAGATTCATATCTAGTTGGGTTTAACAGTGTTCTTTTAAATATTATCTTGTATTAATAATTTGAATTTATCTTCTCTTTTCAGTCAAATGCCGCCCAAGGACTTAATGCCGCGTCGTCTTATAAGTAGGAGGAATAAAGATGCTAATGATGGAGTATCTTCGGTTGCTCGACAAACTTCATCAATGTTAGAACATTCACTATCTCCACCTCTTTATGAGGATACACAAGAAAACGATAGTGAAAGCTCTTTATCAACTCCTGAAAATTCCACTGGTAAATATGCACACATTATATGTATTCTTGTAAATCATATTAATTTTTTTTTTGTGTAGTTATTATATATTTTTGTTATCATTATAAGAATAAATTTCAGCTTCAACAAAAAAAAGAGGTCGTGGAGCAAGTAAAGGCAAATCAATAGATAAAGCAATCGTTGACAATGTTAGTATTGGTTTTCTCATATATATTTTTTACTATTATTTTGATATATATACTTCATCATCTACTGGTATTGTTTACTATGTGGTTTGTTAGAGAGGACAACTACTGGAGATTGAGTTTCCTGAAGGTTTTAAGAAACCTCGCCAATTCGCTAATCATTTAGCAACTGCAATTGGAATTGTTATAAGGCACAGCCCTGATCTTGATTGTATAAGTCACTGGAATGAAATACCTGAAGACGAAAAACTACCGATTTATGCTGGATTAGATGTAAGTACGATGGTGATATTTTTCTCTTATCGCGTCTTAATTGCTAATTACTTAAATAAAGATTTTCTACTTATTTTTATTTCGATTAGACATGGTTTATTATCAAGGAATGGTGGACTAATCCGGTAGTCAAGATGTATATGGAAGAGATGTTTCAAAGAAGTTATACACATTGGAAGGGTCGATTGTCAGCATCACACAAAAGAATGGTTGAAGCAGGAGAGGATCCTAGGGCTCGAAGCCCATTTGACTGGATATCACTTAAAAAATGGCGTGTTCTATGCAATTACTATGAAAGTGATAAATTCAAGGTACTACACTTGATTTCAGATTTGATAGTCATTTTAATTATTGTAATTTTAAGGTCCTAACTTTTATTTTTTTGATATGCAAGAGCAGAAAAGATCTGCAACTAATGTTAGCAATAGAAAATGCCTACCATATACTCATACCTCAGGTTCAAAATCATTCCACACACGACTATTGCAAATGGTAATGTAATTATTGGATTTCATTAAATCATCTGTTAATGTATTTACTGTGATAATATTTTGTCATAATTATTGCATTTTTCTCTTTTAAAGGAAAATCAGAGCTATGTGGATAACTTCGCAAGAACTCATATGAAAAATGGTACTTTTGTGAATGACAAAGCTGCAAGAAAACATGTATGATCAATTATATAAAATAAAAATATTAATTTTTGAATATCTATATATTTAACATCAACTTCTGAACTTCACTTTCTGAATATTGATAGATCGAAATGGAAAATTTAAGGAACGAATCTATTGAAGACAGGGAAGGCCTTACTTCCGAGAGAGAAATTGTAAAGAAAGTACTCGGCCAACGATCTGGATATGAAAAGGGAACGGGATATGGATTTGTGCCTTCTAAAT